ATATGATTTAAATGAAAACGTGAAACAGCTAACCTTTTCAGGGAATTTCTCACGGTTCATTGAGGCTTCAAAGCAATCTCCAAAGTCAATATGCAATATCTTCCCGCTGTTGACAGTAACACATACAAGTTCAAATTAATACAAATACAATTACAGGTATTGGAATGTATATATATACCTATAACGATGCAGCATGAGGTTGCTTGGATGTCGATCACCCAGGCCAAGCAAGTAACCAACCTGAAAAAATCGAAGCAGTTCAACACGCTCAGGGAGACCCTTTGGGATTATTAAATGAAGGCTTTTTCCCAGTAAACATCATGGTACGAGTGTCAACTAATAATTTAATAAAGTGACAATACAATATGAGAGGGCAAAAAAATTTCTACTAGTAGTAACTTATGCCTGATAAATTTCTTTACTAGTATTCACTGATCTTTCTTCCAATCACTCAAAATGCAATATAATTGCCTCGAACAATGTTCAACATTTAAATGGTCAATATAAGAATATTTCTGGCATTTATGAAGTATCCCACAGTATTACTTCAACCAGACAGTTCACGTGACAGAAAGCTTGCATGCATTTAGAGATAAAGTTGTCAAAATGTTTTCAGCGATGCTTGTTAAAAAATACGATCAAGCACATCTTGAAATATATTAGGAAACAGCTCATTTCATCAGCAAACAATTGGTTGACAAAATTATCTTAAGTAGCCGGCCGTCTTAAGTAAGAAGTCATTACCATACTCATAACGGCCAAGCTTCTTGTGTAGTTGGTCCTCCTGTCCAACCAGATCTCTGAAGTGCGACTCTTTAACCAGAGCACCTAGCATTTGCAAAATAAAATATAAGCGTGCATCAGAATGGAAGGATACGCCATGAATTTTCAATTCTCTAAATGATCCCTACCCTAGAAAGGTCATTCCCTTCTGTATTTTGCAAGGCGTACTCAAACACCTCAACTTTTGATATAAGAGGCAAATGATCATAGTCCGGAGCAAAACCGAGCATTAATTTATGTTCATGATTTAGGCTGATCTGCAGAAGCCAATATAGCAGAATAATAATCAGGAAATGGACCAGTCCAAACAAAAAAAGAAAGACATAAAAATCTGACAAGAAACATTGTGGGGTAAAAGAACCGAGCAGAACCTTTCTGGCATCTCTGTACTCCCGAATGAGATGGTGCAAGGTATCACAATTTGGGACCCATTCTATGAGGCCACTGTTTGGAGATAGTGGAATGACCTCATATCTTTGGATAGACAGATCCTTCGCAGCAGTTTTTCTAGAATTTGCCAGAAGCGTATTTACCAATCCAAAGAGCTGGTAAAGAAGCACTTCAGTAGTTGATAAATAATAGAAAGGCAATGAAGAAGCATTCAAACAATCACCAGAAAATGGTAGTTGATAAGGTTCCGAATGATATTTCTCTCAAAATTAACTTCGTATAAAGGATACATAATTTAGCAATATGAGCGAGATATTGTGCAGCAAATAAGGCACTGAATTTATGAACAAAACCTGCATCACACGCTCATCTTGACGTAAATCTTCATGCCCCTTCAACAAGAAAGCATATTCTTCCCCATCACTTCCATGTATTGTCAACTTACGAGGCCGTTGTTTGGAAGTAATGACAACAAGTTGGGGTGCAAATGATCCAATAGTCACCACAGGCGAGTCTGGGAAGCAATCACAAAATCTGTTAGCTAATGCTCAAACTCACATGCGTATATTTTGCAAATCAGACTCAAACGCACCAGCTTTATAGGTTCCAGGGACAGCAAGTTTTAGATCACGGCACTGCAACAATTCTGGAGATACCGACTGTTTCAAAAAAGATAAAAGGAACACTGAGTATTTTAGGAGCAGTAAAGACCAAACACGAGTGAACTTCTCTTGCCTGCAAGTCCAGGGTGGTGAGTGTCTGAAGCTGCTTATCAATCCGCCTGAATACATGGTAATAAAGATCCCAAGCCTAGAAGGGAAACTTTCATTAGCAGCTGCATATATATGAATAAAACTACAAATATATACAAATAAAAATCCGAATGCAATATTCAGAGAAGCACTTCAAGATCTTAGATCTGCATATCACCATTTATATAAGTTATATACTTGATTGAGCAGTAACAACAACAACAACAACAACATACCCAGTATATTCCCAACAAGTTGCCCAACAAGTTGGGGTCTGGGGGGTCAGTTGTACGCAGACCTTACCCTTGTAATTATACAAGGAGGCTGTTTCCGTAGCGACCCAAGGTGCATTGCGCCGTTTGATATATTTTTATTTTTTTTTTCTAGAAACTTCACTAATAGAAGAAGCACTAGAATTTAATTGAGCCATTTTGATTTAGTCCATTATTAGCACTATGCCAGAAGAATTGTCAACAATGACTCTTCCANAATTCCGAAGTAAGAAACTCATATCTATATAATTGGGCATTCTTCTCCATGCTCATAAATACAGTTGATGAATTGGTTTAGAAAGGATGTATTCGTGAGAGCCACAAAGTTATCATGAGTGCACTGCTTCGCATGGTGATTTGACCTATTTTATGTATTACATAGTATTCTTTATCTGTTATTTCTCTTACATTATTATGATAAATAAACATTTTTATATATCAAGGAAAATATAAAAGATCAGCATGCATACAGTGCGGGTGAAGGACATATATATGTGGTGCAATCAAGCCAATTAGAAATAGAGTCCTGATTATTTGGTTCTTCCAAGGATATAACTTATATAATATGTGATAATTTCATGTGGTCTTCCACATAGATGATAATTTTAGTAACATACGATGATGGGAAATCCATACGACAAACAAATGCACAAGTTGAAACATGATTGGATTTTCATGTAAATTTTACCTGAGTTAATTCCGCATCTTTTCCGGTCCTTCTGTATCTGATGCAGCAGTCATAGGCCTCCAAAAGTTCATGACGGAATTGCTGATAATTATCGACAAGTAATTGACAAAGAACCAAAGTCAATGAGGAATAATGGAATTAGTCAAAAGATCAATTTCTTCTAAGCGGATGCAAGGAAGAGACATTTTTTACAATTGATGTGGAAACAAAAAGAGAACACCATACAAACGAAGTAATGAATTGATTACAAATCTTGAAATGGACAATTCATAAAGAATTTTCAGAAAAGCCAACATGTTGGCAGATAGATCACCTGAATGAAGGCTTTCTCTTTTATGGTAGTATTGGCCCTCATTGCACCTTCCTCAAGCATTTGGTGCAATGGCTCTAAAACATTCAGCATTCCCTCAACATTATGTTCACCAAAATATAAGCGGCTTGCCTCTTCTAACGCCTCGTGCCACATTTCATGCCAAAGTATTGCAACTCGGATCAACTCCGTAGATACAAGTTGGGCCTACGCAATTCAAGCATCGAGGTCAGATAAATAAGAAAAAATATTGTTACCAATAAAATATTGTTAGCATGTTATATTTTCACCTCATCCACTAGCACCCCACTGTGCTGTCTAACTCTATCAACCACTTCCTGAGCTGCCTGTTTCCTTAAATTGCTAATAGATTTGCATGCCACGAGAAGAGGGTACATAAGAGCCTGAAAAGTGAATCATATTAGTGATGAATATCACGATAAACTGTCAAGATGTAACTTAGCATGTCCCAAAAGGTCAATCTGAAGAAGAAAAAAATTACAATTATGAAACTATTACAACTCGTCAGAGCACTACTTTAATTAAATATATTCATATTCCAAGCTGACGTGCCTCAGCTTGAAGGTACCACTAATAAACAACCGGATTGAAATTTACCTGGCCTACCAAATACTATGTTATGTATAGTTCAATAATAGTTCATGGGATTTATAGTCATAAATGCTAGATTTGATGGAGCAATATGATTTTGATTTAATTCTTTGTTCAGCACAGGTGTCTCAAATAAACCAATAACATTTAATTCTCATTTTCAAATAAAATTTATCAACCGAACAGCTAATTTAGTCAATGCTAGAATAGATGAAGCATGAAATAACTCCATGAACAAGGTATGAAATAAACACATAAAACAACCACAAGCAAGGAAAAGAGTATGTAAACCTACCAAAACCGAAAATAAGGACAGACTGAATGGAAAGTATAACAAATCAAACAAACCTGTGGATGGATCTGGCCAATTCGTACCAACAGTGCTTGTATCAGTTCTCTAACTGCATGGTTATTAGAATGTATTCTGGCAATTATTTGGGGCAAAACAACCAACCATGTGTTTATATTTACAAGTGAAAATCCTTTCTGTAGTGCCACCTGAACCTCTGATGTGGCCCCATGGTTGAACCACAAAGTTAGGAGACGAAGGATATCCTGAATTCCAGGATCACAACCCCAAATACAAAAATATTAATGATATATAACACAGGAAATAAAATAAGAAATATTCAAGGGAAGTTCTGAAAGAAAGGCTTCAAAGCTGATTGACTAAAATATTTCTCTAAGTAGAAATGAGAGAATACAGAAGCATTGTTCAGAAGATAAGCTGCAACCAAGTAAAACACGGAAGGAAACCGATGCATGAAACAGGTGAAGTAATGCAAAGTACATATGATTGCAGAGAAAGAGAGAGTTGAAAAGAGAATAAGCCTATATCCTTGACTATGAACAACAATCATCCACTTAAAGCATACCTGTAAACTGTCATCCACTCCTTTAGCATGTGCCCCACAAGCTATGGAATGAAAATATCCAGTGACAGCAGCAACAACAAACTGTCCAGTAATGCTCTGATAACCTCTCAAAGTGTAGTGAGACATGACTGCTGTATTAAAAAGTGCCCATTTGTGCCAAGCTTTTGCCCACTTTGTTGCACAGTGAGTTGCGTTACGGAATGCATTGAGGATTTCTAATAACAAAAACACCTTATCATCAACTAGATGTAATAGAGCTGACAAAGGAACATCACATTGCAGCTGAAGTTATAGAGACATGCAACCATGTCTACAGGGGAGAGTGAGTGAGTGAGTGAGTGAGTGAGTGAGTGAGTGAGTGAGTGAGTGAGTGAGTGAGTGAGAGAGAGAGAGAGAGAGTGCCTTGTATAGAGTCGTCATCCAAACCAGGGGACAGTGCCCACTGCCAAGTTCCCAATTTGAGATAAACACGAGCAACGAAAGGCATACTCGAGGAAGACGAAACATCAGACTGCATGGACTGTTGAAAACCAGGCATTCTTGAAAGGTCCATGGCCAAATCCTAAAACAAAGACAAAGAAGACGTAATGAACATGAAACAACAATACAATCAGCTATGCATCGAGAACTACGAGAAGTTCGACACTTCAGATAAATTATACCATACCTTCAGTCTGGTGAAAGCTTCTTTGCGCCTATGATCTTCCCCAATTGACCATTGATATTTCAAGTAAGCCAGAATAACTTGAGGGTCCCCATGATATCGTTCGGTTTCAGGGGTTGATTCTGGATCAAACTGGACATCACAAAAGACTATGCTGAGCACATTCAAGTGATAGATAAAATAAAATGTTTTACAAGCGATAAACTGACATGAATCGCGTACCTGTAAGAGTTTAGTTAGAGTTGATCTAGCTTGACTGGTTCTGCCACTTTTAAGGCAAAGAGAGGCGAACTTTATCCATGTCTCTGCATCTTCTGTAGGTGGAAGCACAAGTGACCTGACAGACAAAAGCGCTTGCCAGACCTGGAAATTTTAGGAATTGAGAGTCGCACCAGGATCACACTCAAAACAGTACTAGAGCTTCAGGAATCGGGAGGAAGGCGGATGCATGTACAATTGCTGATTAAGTAATTACAGGTAACGTATACACCTAGGGATGCAGGTGGTGGTAATCAACCACCTTCCTGTCCCATCAACAAATAACCAAAAAATTTACTTATTTGTCGTTCACTTTTCTTTACTGGATGAATGCCTCCAATTCCAAAAAGCTATTAAAAAGAAAAAATAAAGTTTGAAGATGTAATTTTCTGGCATTTGGAATTGAGTTTCATGCTAGATAAGTCAGACTACTCACAAAAATGCAAGTACGGGATACTTTAAAGATAGGGAATTAAAAATTCAACTTATTTTCGATATTATTTATGTCTTTAGTAGTAAAAGTTCGTAACACGTCAGTCACGCTAGGAAAAAACAAGGAAAGCTGTAATTGTAGACTAATTGGCCCTAGCAGGAGGTTGGGCCTGTATACACACAAGTTTGCAAGTTTCAGGTGTGTTATTCCATATAAGGGGATATAATTCATGTTCAAAATTAATGAAGATGAAGAGGAACACATCATCAAATATCCTAATCCAGGTACGCTATTCTACTAAATAATCAATGCAACTACAGCCAGCTTAGTTCTTAGTTCATGACCATTTAGGGAGAAAATGTTCAGCCTCCTATAAAACATTGAAAGAATGCATTGAACCTTCCCTGACATATCACCCTTCAGTGAATTAACCTTGTTTGACATCCATCATTTCATTCAAATGTTGGATCCGTTTAAAAAATTCCGTTTGTTATTCCACACAGTTTTCGGAATCCAATTCTTCAAGGTTGAAAATTGGAGATGAGAAAAGAATGAAGCATATCTACAACAATATCCCAATCAAAGAGTTCAAAAAATTAAAAATGAAAGTTCATGAAACAATTAAATTAGAGATCAGAAAAGTGGTTATGACTTATAAGTTCGATTCAATAGATAATCTAGAACATTTTCAAGACAGCTTACATCTATAAGGCGGGAACACTGAGGCAAATAAGAAAAATATAACTGTTATATCATATACCAACTGGGAAGAAAAAAATCAAAGAAGTGTTTTATCATTTGTTATTACCACAGGAATGTTCTCTGTTTTTCCAAATCAATGCCAAGAAATGAATTAGTAAGATAGTTCTAAATGTTCCACCTCAACATTTCGTTTTGCGCCTCTTATTCGTTCACTCCACATGTTCCGGATGAGGGCCCTTCGTCCCTCAGAAACAGGGTTTCCAGCAGGCAGTGTACAGTAATCAATGACCTATTCGGAGAAGACATCACAATTTTTATTAGGATCATAATGCTTCAACAATTTACACGCAGCAAAATCAGCTTAGGCAAATGGTTCGTGAAATGGTTAAAGAGTATATACCTCCTCCAATTCTGATAGCTGCTGAACGCGGACCATATTGCTGTATGCACGTTCATAACTCTCAAGAACCTAGAACGGTGGAAACAGATATGATTTCAAAGGTACTGACTTCTGATATGTGCTGAGTGTAACATCTATATGAAATTGATACTTATATATATTGTCCCCACTCAACTTCTACTAAGCATGCCGCGTTACACTATTTATATCTCATGACTCAGGAGTTTGTCACCTATAATTGGTAGTTTCTTTCTCTGTTTTGGTAATAAAGCTAGGCTGGACCCATGTTAACAAAAAAATTGTGGGGCAGCCACATAAGAACCAACCAGGGCTAAGACAATAGAATAATATGACACTATAAGCCAATATTTTTCAGACGGAAGCTGGTAGTTGATCTTTTACTCAACAGATGATGGAGATGGAGAAAACTAACCAATGCAGCCACTTCCGTAGCCAAGCATTTCCTTGCTCTTTCAACATATTCGCGTGCCTCATCATACTATATTTCAAAAGGAGAAGAACAATCAGACAACTTTATCAAGAAATAAAAATCAAAAATAAACAGCTAAACCTTTACCTTCCCTCTACGAACTAATAAGACAGCCCTGAAGAAAGTTCCATTACTGCTCCCATCCCCTGTAGCAGCAGTATTACCCAAAACTCGAAGCTTGGTTTCGTCTCCATCATCCAACCGAGAAACGTATTCGGCCATCTGATCCCACTCACCCATGTTCCAGGCAGCATTCGCAGCCTAAATTACCAGATCATACGCTTTTTTAAACGAACCAAGCAGGAATAAATGCTTGCAGCCAACAGAAGAGAGAATGACAGTAATGAGATGAACAATCATTTGAAGCCAAAGACAAACCATTGGGGCCATTTCCAGTCTAGCAGCTGGCTCAGCAGGTGTCCAATACTCCTTGCAGAGATTGTTGAGCTCTTCCCATCTAGCAAGTGCAGCAAGGCATCTCATGCGTCCTTGAGAGGATAAAAAGAGTGAAAAATATAAACATAAAAGTGAACAAAGAGCAAGAGTATGGACGAAAAATAAAAGAAAAAAATGAGAAACTCTGAATTGCGGTTGTCAAGGAAAAAGATACAAGTGATTACATAGAAAAGAAGCATTAAAGCAGCAATTTATATAAATAATTGTAAATGGACTCAGTACTAGCATAAAGCCTACTTTAAAGCATCACACTACAGTAAAGATGTAGCTTGGATAACTCCCTGATTGTCCACAAGAAAGGCAGGGTGGGTGATGCCAGAATGGAAGATGACTGGGTATCCAGAAAACCAAATGCATTTGAAGTATTTCATTTATCATATAAAAGGATGTTTGTTTGGCTGCTTTAAGAAAATTTCATTCAACAAAGTACAATGTTAATCAAAATACTTTTCGCTGAATGAATTTGAAGTATAGAATGAATTACTATTTTAGCACAAAAAAGACTTTCATTTGTTACTGAAACAAGAACAAGAACTATCCAACTTGAAATACAATAATATCCACACGTATATATACAGTGAAATGCACCTAGCGTTGCTTCCAGAATAAGATGTTGGCTTGATACTTGAGAGGCTTTGACGGTGTAGGCTTTGAGAGCATCATCCCATCGCTGGAGTTTCTCATACCTAGACAAACACATGTTCACTTGAGTGACTAAATAAGAGCATAAATAATATTATTGAGTAGACTTGCAAGTTCTCATATCACAACAATTTCTAGGTATTGCTAATTCTAAAGTTTGAAGCACAAGGATTGGAATGAAAAGCAATATCATTCAAACTAAACAAGCAACAGAAGATTTTTAGAATTGTGAGTATTAATTTACCATGACTCCTTCAGTTGAACCCCCAAATGTTGTTGAGCATACGTCAATATTCCAACTGCAGCCTGGATAGACAAGTAAGACTTCATTGAGTTCATGAACATAGTTTGTTTATTCTTTAATGATAAAGGGAAAAAAGGCTGCATGTAACAAGCAACCTCGTGTTGGTGCAATTGGTTATTGATATGAATAAGAGCTTCAACTACAGCAACAGGGTTGCCGTCCATCCTATTTGAGCATGCACCTTCAAATTCCATCTCTTTATAGTGCAGAGCCTTTGCAAATGCACGACACTGAAATACAAGTATTGCGAGAGATTCATATCATACTCTTCAACTTAAACTAATACTCATGTAATTGCTATCAGAAAAGTCCCACCTTTTCTGCTAGGGCACCCAGTAGACGTATATCAATAGGAAGGGGTCTCTCATCGTGTTCCATAAACTCAGCCTGGAAAAATCAGTCTACAAGTTGACTAGCTGAACAACTTCAGGTACACATTCAGAAACAAATGATGCACCAAAAGATAAGAAATTTCAGTATATCCCACGTACTCATCCCATTTTTACATCAGCAGAAACCAACAATAAATAAAAGAAGTTCCAACCACTAACACCTTCACCCAGCCAATTTAGTCTCAATAGCATCTTTCAGAACTCTAGAGTAAGTTCTAATTTATGATGTTGCATCTAGATATTCTGTATAAAGAAATTTTTAATTGCCCAGAAGTCTGCCAAGGAAAACAAAGATAAATCTCCACTTGTGGAAGGATGCAGCATTTAAGCATATGCTTAGTTTGCCCTTGCTAGTTAAATTGAGCTAACATAGATTTCCATCTTAGCAGTTATCAACAACGAGAAACAATTGCTCAAATACTTAGTATTTATCTTCCGGAATGGCCAGAAATATATCAAAATAGATATTTATTCATCCGAATTTGCAGTATAATTTTTTCATACCAAGTTCAAAAGTGTGGCAAGAATTTCGGGAGGTATGTTTGGAGATGAAAATGCCATTTCCAGACTTCGCACCAGCTGTCTTCGGCAAGGCTCATTCAGCTCTGTCCAGCAGCTGACAAAACCAGCCGCAAACAACTCTCGTCCAACAAAAGGCTGCAAAAGATAAATAGCATTAAAGTTCTAATCACTGAATAACTTTTTATTCAATTATAGTTCTCAGCTAAGCTCAGATGAGAGCCATAGAGCATAAGAAACAACAAAAATTACTTGGAGTTGGGCAAGCTTGGCACATGTTCTCAGAGCAGGTGCAGGTGATTCCTTCAATAGTTCAATGCTAAAATGTCTCATCCACTCTGCCCAGTCCTCTCTCGTACTGCGTTGAGAAGCTTCCCCCGCAGCACGTATCCGACCCTCATTAACCTAAGAAAGTTGTAAAAGGCAATTAGGTTTACCGAAGAAGAAGAAGAATATCGAGTCAAATAACACCAGCAATAAACAAAATTATTATTCTTGCATATTCCCATGACAACTTGAGATGAATGGAACTATGTAAAATAAAACACTTAAATACAATCAGTTCAATGAAACAACATATGAAAAATATTTAAACCCTTCTCCAAAAATTAAAGGATTGACACATGAATTTAGTAGTCCAGCATCACCAATTTATAACATGGCACTCACTGTATTTCCTGTGTAAGAACTTGACCAACAATTCTTATTGACCCCTATACGCTAACACCTACAATTAAGGGACTACAATGATTATCAACTAATAAACGAAAATCCTATGATATACCTTATGAGGCTTGTGTGGATCAACTCTACACTCTGGATCCTCCGTATCATTCAAAGGGTCGCTAATAACTTCCCCAGGAAGTCGACGAGTTTGTTTTTGAACAGCACTCCCTAGGATCAATGGCTCCCTTCTTCTTATGCGATCTTCAATTTCTTCAAAATCCTTATGCTGGTCAAGAAAGATAATATGCTTGAAAATCTTAATACGCCTGAGAATTACCTTCACTAACGATGAACAGATTGGCAGAAATAAAGATATCAACCATACCCGCATGCGATGCTTCAACAAAAGCTTATGGATGGAAGGGATGAAAATAGTGAAGTCTTCACCAAGGGAATGAGCTAGACAACAAAGTGCATCAACAGCATCTTTCCTGAGCTCATCATTTTTCCTGTAAAATTAATAACGTATCTTGAGTAAAGTGGAAAGGAAACTAGAACAACTATCATAGACAAGGATCAGCTACTAAAACAAGAAAAAAGGTAAGCCTCTTCAAGCAAGAGTATATTCATTTTGTATGTCAACCTAAGAACTCTACTTAATAAGTAATTAAGTCTTTCTTATCAGATTGCAGAACATGTACTTTCAAGTTGCATACACAACTACCTTGAAGATAAAATGCATTATACAAGGACACATTTCGGTGAACTTTAAATATTCCATATAGTTAACCAGAATGATTCCAGTAAACTGCTATTAAATACTTAGAAAGGCAATGCACCACTACATGAGCACACACTGGACCACCACGAAGTAAAGGAAACAAAACCATGTGCAGTTCTGCGAGATACTATGGAGCAGTGTTATCAAATGACGCATGGCGGTACCGCGGCAGATTTTTTAAAAACCGCCATGCTAAATTTGTGAAGGATGGGGGTTATGGCGCCCAGCGCCATAGGCCGTCATGGAGGGGATTTTGGCCTACCCCTACTTACCGCCATTAATAACATTGCTGTGGAGTAAAAGTGCATCCATATGATGGGCACTTCTATATAGGCAATTTTCAGGGAGTGCTTTTGGGTAATATTAAGTGTTCTGACTTCTGAAGGCATATAAATTAAATTCCCATTAGACAACAGTAGAAGAAAGAGAAATCCAACAGCCACAAACTAGCACATCTCTAAAATAGACTTCTAGGATAAGTGATTTCTCCAGAGCCAAATACAAAGTGCTCCCAGAAGAAATTTATTCAAATTCTAACTTGTCCATGAGAATTACAACGGATCCGGGTCTGAGCCTACTCTTAAAGATGAGATCTACTCCATTTCTTTCGACAAATAGTAAACGACAATATAAAGTCCACCACTGCATATTATTATGACAACAATAAAAAAATGAGAGAAAAATCTAACCCGTCCAAGACTAGCTTCAAGTGATGCACAAGAGCTGATATGTGACCAGTCACCTGGTTAAATGGAATGAATGAAAACATAAATCAACCATAATAATAACATATATAGAAGCCAGAAAGATTAGAATGAAATTCAACCTGTACACGAGGAATCAACTTAGTAAGTGTTCTAATAGCAGCACGCCGCACTTCTACAGAAGCATCCAACTTAAAGATTCGAATGAGTGCAGGAAGAAGAAGATGCATATGCTCATCCAATGTTCCTACAGATTAGATCAAAGACTTCATATATACAGAAGATATCAAGGAAGTCCACCACAAATGGCTTAAAGAAAAGATACCAACCGCCAAAAACTTCAACAGTTCGGAGAATGTCAACAACATAAGTGTAGTCTTTAAACCTCTCAGCATCACTTAGCACTTGAATGCAGGATGGAAGAATAAAGGGAAGATGTGTCCTAAATTCATCATTAAGAGCCAAGCAAAGTTGCTCAAGCAGATGGAGGACCTAAAATTGCAAGGCAAGAAGTTTATAATCAAATATATAAACAACTTCTGTACAAGAATAAATTCTGTCCGGAGAATAAAGCATCAATTGAACCACAAAAAAGTTTGTACCGGAGATCCATGGACTAGTCTGCTGTTAGCAGGCAAATTGAATGATGACCATAATTCTGATATTAGAGAGAATAAATCTGGAAGATATTTCCGAATATGCTGCATAAAAAGAATAATAAAATAATGAATCTCAAGATGATTGGTAAATCGGAAGAGAGGGAGACAAAGTACATACCTGGCGAACAATAGAAACCAATGTTCCAAGTTTCCATGTAATATACTCCTTAAGATTATTATCCTCACACGTACGAACAGTATGAAGAAGTTCAGGCAGAACCTGATAGGAGCAATATCATTCAAAATATTAGCTTTAACAAGATCATTGTGATGAGGAGGGAGAAAGAAAGGGGGGAAAGAGAGATGCAGCAGTATTAACAAGATTATTATATTAAATATAATTCTGAACATTACACTGCAGAAACCATAAACCATTTCTTCATATATCAAGTTTGAAACCTAGTCATTTAGCATTGATCCTTTTATTGCCTTTGCTACTAGAAACAGTAATCCTTCAGATCTGATCAAAATTGAAAGGTGCAATTTGATATACTTCCTTTCTGATATTTTTTTCTCCCATGATAAAAATTTTAAAATGTGAAATGATATAAGATGAAAACTTTATGATTAAAGTTATTGTGATGGATCAATCATAAAATCTTGACTGATAATTAGGAATATGTGGCCAAACAAATAGTGAAATTTTATAGGGAAATGTGTAGTAATGATTGGTTTTTATTTAAAAAATAAAATAAAAACGAACGATGAAAGAAAAAGTGAGATGAGTGGGTAGTGTATTTTTTGATAAAAATTGTATTAGATCACTACTTTCAAGAAAAAAAAAATCCTTGGTGGGATAAAAACAAAAATGTTCTGTATCGAATGATGGCCTAGACCTCTTTCAACTGGTTTTGAAGATTATTCAGTTACACTTCAAGACTGAAACATTATTACACAGTGGTGCATGCAAGCTCAACAAGGGATCTCCAAGGTACGAACAGAAGTGTGAGAACATGCAGTTGGTGTCATGGTTTTTAGAAGTCAGATAGGCTGCCCATCTACTCTTCTTTTGTTAAATTTAAAGAAGCACGTTTAATAACACACATGAGTAATAACTTTCAAAAGATTTATAACAGTTTGCTACTTTCCTAGGCATCAGTGTCCATTATACTTCTGATCAGCTCACATTCACAAAGCATTTCACACTTCAGTTTGTGCATGCCTTCTAAAGTAAATCTTGGGTATACAAATACCTCAAACTTAAGCCTCATTTAACAAGGTGCTACCTTTAAAGAATGAGTGGAAGAAAATACCTTCACATCAGATTGCTCTAGCAAGTAAGAATAGAAGCATTATATTAAGTAGAGATGGAAAATGCACAATTGACTAACCTTGGGTAAGTAAGGAACACAACCAAGATTCATTGCCTAATCTCGCAAGAAAAAAAAGCAGAAGAAGAGTTAACATTTATTCTACAGAGTAAGCATGCATAATTTCAAAATACGGCAAAACAGGGGATGATGCATTCCATAACACAGTTCTACGGGAAAGCACTAGGAATATAGTAACGAACATCAGTAATCTTACACTAACCTTGAAAATGAATATTAGAGATCCAACGACCTTTTGGTGGTAACTTGAAAGTGAAGGATCTCTGAAAATTCGCATCAGGGAACTGATAGCAACCTGAGGTAAATCAATGTGAAAGAAAATACTAAGAGCATTCAAATTACAATTGATTCGGTGTGCTAAAAACACAGTTCTGATTCAAATTCTCACAGTGGAGTAATAGTCTTCTGATGTCGCAAAGGATGGCCAAAGATCCATGGGTATTTCATCCATTGACCTGATATGCTGACCAGCATCACAAGCTGCACGAGCAACTTCGCCATGGGACCCTGGTAAGGTTAGCTGATTGCGTTTATGCACATGGGGATCTAATGCACCCATTATGCCAAGGACCTAAAATACACAAGTACAGATTATAATGCTAAGAACATAAAAGACACAAACCATTGGTTAGGCGTGAATATAACAGGTTGAATAAATCTTGACTCTTGAGTAGGCAGCTGAATTAGATACCTTTAAAACTTCACGTCTGGTAGACCATGCCAACTCACCATTGAGCAACTTCAGAAGTAACCCAAGCAATTGAGGATACTCATTATATGGAGTAATAACATAACTGCAGATCATCAAAATTATTTTAGGTTCCATGATCAAGGAAGGTAATAAAAATAGTAGATGAGCTCGTAGCAGTCGAGAAACAGAGCACGTTATACTCTAACTGCTTTATTCATTGTAGTTTTATCATATAACATAAGCACTCTGACGATTATCTGCATGGAGCCAACTTCAACAATTATCATCAATAAATGGGCCTGGGAAGAAGAAAACAATCCCCCCTTGCATTAATTTGTCCCCACTCCAAGTTAATGCCTTAGATTGCAATTGGATATTTGCTGGAGAAATAGCTCACCCCCATGAGCCTATGGAATTTTCAGAAAAGTTATTCACTCATTCTCACTTTTTCTGTCTCCAATCACATCAAGCACTCGATTCAAATGAGAAATTCAGCACTCCAATATTTCCCACATGTTACACGGTTCATTTACTCACATATCTCTTAACTATTTGACTTTTCAATCGTTACTTCATTATGTTCATACCAAAATCAAGTTTAATCAATAGATTAACATCTTCCATCCAAGCAAACTCAGAGAAAGTTTATCGTTTTTTTTTTTTTTCAAAATGATAAATGGGCTTGGGTAGAACTCATCCCCAAAAGCTAGCTCAAAGGGAGAGAGTGCCCAACCCACACTTACACACAATAATAGCCCGGTAACTAATCGATGTGGGACAAACATAACTTCTAACACCCGCCCTTACATGCAGTGAGCCAAACCAAATGGGCTGGGTCTAAATCCCAACATCGCCTCCAAACAAACAAAATCTGCGTGCTCCAGTGTTATAAATGGCGGATGGCGGTTTGCCAAAATTCCGCCAGAGAGGCTGCCATGGCGGCCGCCGTTCCGCCAAACCATACCGCAATGTGATAACACTACTGCACATGATAAATAGGCTTGGGTAAAACTCATCCCCAAAAGCTTAGCTCAACAGAAGAGGGTGCCCAACCACAATCATACACAATAACAGCCCAGTAACTAATCGATGTGGGGCAAACATAACTTCTGACAGAAAATCTTTTACCATCTTCTCCCGTGAAAATATTTTTTTTAAAATGGAAGTATATCCAATGATACCCCTAATGAGAAACCATACAAAAGTAAGCTACAAAACTAAATAAATCATAAAAAGCCATACCCTGTGCTTTGTACTAATTGGCCTAGAGTGGTAACTGCCACTTCACGTTTCATGGCAGCTGCACTATCTAATAAAGCTTCAACAATTAAGGGCATCAACTCTGGAATATACTGCCTCATTGCAAATCCACCCTGAACACATGGAGACAAAGAGAGCATAAGCATAAACAGTAATCCTTAAATAACTTGAAATATTGCAGACATGAACTCAATTAATACATCATATATCATGACAAATATGGTTGTAAGATTAAAACTGCCATCAAAAGAAAGGGAAGAAAACATGCCCAGTGTCAACACTTGGTCCAGAGTAAAGCAATGAGAAAAACTAAACAAAGTCGAAAAAGACTTACTACTCTGGCGAGATCTCCAACAGTTACTAGAACTCCACTTATTATGCCATTATTGACACTCGCCGCAGTTCCCTCATTGAGTTTTGTAATGAGGGCCTGAAAAATCAGAAAGTTAGGAAGCGAAGAAAATAATAAAATAACCAAACGAACATCAATTGTCAGATAGATACAAAACCTTGTGTATTGGAGAAATATATGGGAGAATCAATCTCTCACAATTACGAATTAAGCATCCCAACAATTTCGCACTTTCCTCTCTGCATTTGCTATCAGAACTGCCAGCAAAAGTAGCAATGTCAATGACATACAGCGAACTAAATACATAAGAAGGCGAAGAATAACGTCAGCACATTCAGGAAGTAGAGATTTCCTAGTAATAATTCAATTGGTTCAACAGTACCTTTGTTTCAGATAAGTTAACAATTGAATAAGATGACGACGGAGAGCTGGAAGAACATATGCTGGATTCTTTTCAGATAGTCTTCCAGCCAGTGATATAGCAATTTCCCGAACGGCGAAATCCTATAAGATAGTAACAAGAGAGATGCTAGATGTTATTTACATGAAAGCAACCTGGGTCATCCATAGGTGAAACTCAATATAACATACAGGTCGTTTAGACAGAATAATCAAGACACAGTCTTATTCACTTCTGCATTGCCTCAAGATTACACATTCGGAAGTGAGCCAATATGGTGGACAGAATGACATTTTGAGAAGTATCAAATGACAAGGTCATAAAATAGGAAGGCTAATAAAAATGTTTCAATTTTAAGATCTGCCCCCAAAAAAAAAAAATAGCATCTGTTGAGCAAACCTCTTTTCAAATGAAAAACTTAAAATGGGTATAAATATTCTTGGGAATTTTTTTTTTTTACCTCCCAAAGTATACCAGTTTTTAGACTTTGTCTTACGAACTTTTTTTCTGGATATAAGTACACGAAAGTACACGAAAATGACAATTTTCCTCCTCTATTAAAAACCCAAATATGACACAAATTTTAACTCAATTAACGATAAATTTTGAATCAATCTTTAAAATTGATTTAGGGTTTCTGAAGCCAATGGGCGAGACAAACAAAATGAGGTATGGTCTATCGATTTATAAAAACTAATATTTCGATAATCCATAGATGAAGAAGGTAAGCGCACGTGTGTTAGAAAAAACTTCGGTTCAACTTTTTTTATAATCAAGATATTCAAGGGAGGTGTCATATGAAAGCTTGCAAGCTGAGTTTTCTAATGAAGTAAAATCTTTATGAAAATCCAACTGTTGAATTTTCATAAAATTTACCTCGTTAGAAAACTCGTCCTGCAAGCTTTCAAATGACACCTCTCAATCGAAAATCGGATATCTTGATTATCAAAAAAGTTGAACCGAAGTTTTTTCTATACACACGTGTGCCTACCTTCTTCGCCGACCGATTACCGACGTATCAATTTACAGAAATCGATAGAACCGCATCTCATTTTGTTCGTCTCTACATGGGCTTCAAAAGCCCTAAATCTATTTTAAAGATTGATTCAAAATTTATCATTAATTGAGTTAAAACTTATTTGTCATATTAGGGTTTTTTAATGGAGGAGGCAAATTTTCAGTTTCGTGTATTGTGTACTTTGGAGGTAATCTATCAAGTAAAAAAGTTCTAAAACAAAGTCTACAAACGAGACAGAGGTAGAAAAAATTCCCAATATTCTTTCAACTACAGAGCAAAAAAATAGGCTCGTGCACCACCAGTAGCATTTTGTAATGCTGTTATCTCCACATAACTCCTCCCAGAGATGTTGCTGAAACAGAACCTTATGAATGAAGATTGTATAATTCGAAACCTATTGCATATATCACTAGTGATTGGGGGAAGATTCAGAACCACAGGTAACAACTATGAACCAATCATTTCTAATACCTTTTCATATTAGGGTAATCTCAATAGCTAAGGCCACCACCATGAAAAATTCCAGTAGAACACCATAAAATAATGGAACATTGTTTTCTCCAAATTGTAAGTTAGAATACCTCATCATTTAAAGCAGCAAACACTGCTGTCAAACAATCAGCCTGAGCCAAATAATCATCAAATCCCCCAGTCTCATGCAAAGAAGAAAATATAGATCGTCGAACTGTAACATCAGCATCAGCAACAGCTGCAATGAGAAGTTTTTCCACAATCTACACAAGGAAATGACACCAGAAACATTAGAAAGAAACATTAGAAAGACAAAAGCAGACGGAACCAACACAATCACTTACACGTAAAGCAGCCAACACAAAAAATAAACTTGGACACCAAAGCAAAAAATAATGAGCCAGTATACTAACTTTATAGATTAAGATAACCATTTCAAAATGGCTGATGGACATTGCACTGACCAAAAAGTGAATCTATAACTTAAATAATGCAAGTCGCTACTGATTAGAAAGAAGAAAGAAATAAGAAAAGAAAAAAACAAAGAAACAAGAAAACACGATTTTACAAAGAACTGCATCGTTTACTTTAGGATACATAATGCTTATGAATCCCCCAAGTCCCAAAGCAGCTCCACATGCATACCACATAGAATTTAAATTTGTTACCTAGTCATTCGTACTAAAAACCACTTCTATATCTACTTTCCTATCCAGTTCGTGTTTCATAAGCATATACTATCCAACCACTACATATTTAACTGGACTCCACAATAACACACATAAAATTTATGTAAAATGACCCCTATGAACTAGAGGACAGAATGCAAAACCAACTGGCTTAAACAGACAGAAACGCATAAAAGATAATTACATTTGATCCAATGCAAACCAATAACTCGAAAAACACGAGATAGATTTTATGATTTGATGCATCATGGCAAAAAGATGAGATGGTAATCAAACCGCTTCCCCGGAAGAAAGAACTGAAATTATCAAATCCTCTCACATGTATGTTTTTATGCCATACGATCACAAGTGCCAGAGATGTGAAAAGAAGTAAAGCTCTAATGTGTTTGAAAAAGATTAAATAACAGGAAGTCAAGACAGTTTTGCACACAATCAAACCTCCTCAACGAGGCGACGCCGCCTTCCACCGGAACGAGTTGTTCTGTTAGAAGTAAATTGAACTGACAAGACGCCAAACAAGGAATTCGCCATTAGTTTGCAGCAACACAAAGCAGCGTCTTTTCTTGTACCACCATCATCATCTTCTAGATAGGGCACAACCGACCCTCTCGCAAACTCAAGAAGATCCCGATCCTGAAAAAATAGCTACTACATTTTAATTAAAAATAATAATAATAACAAAAAAAAAGCGCAAGATGCATAGCTGGTAGATTGTAAAAAACGAATTGGGCAATAGCTTATCAAGCAAGTTGAACAAGAGCATAACCACAGATAAACAGAAGGCAAGAAGAAAACCACAAGATCAAAAATGATGTGACCTTAAAATCGAAACGAGCAAGAGTCTGTAAGGCAAGTTGAACAAGAGCTGAACCACTGAGTTCCGGTACTTGCAACGTAGCAGCTGAGCTACTAGTCCGAGTAATGGCATTAGAAGGCCTTGACTGAACTTGTTGGTTTCGAGAAAGAACCCCAGAAATACAATCAAGCAAGCGTACTTGAATGGTTGGAAGCAAGGTAGGAATGCTGAGGATACAAAAAGAGTTTGATGTCAATGCCACCAATTCATTCAAACAAGGAGAATGAGCTTTGTGCAAGATGTTATAGTGAAGACTGAAAACCTGGCAGTTATGTGCTCGAGGGCTTCCACTAAAGTGGAGGATAATCCAATGGAAAACATTGCATCTAGAAGACTTCGTATGTGAGGCTCCATAGAAGGTCCCATGGCTTTTGCAAGATTTCCAACACATGCCAAAGCCTCCATAGAGGGTCGCCCTCTACGAGGAGCAATCTGTGAAGAAGCAAAGCCGAATCCAAAGAGTATTATTCAGTGCTAACTGCTAACTATACACCCAGAAACAACATAATATCTTTCAGTGACAACATAATATTAAGGTTAACTTTGATCAAATTCGTACAGCATCACGCAAGTGAGTTGTTATTGTCGGCAAATAATTGATGAGTTCGCCATCCAATGCACCAGCCATTTCACCGAGGGCAATGAACCCACTAGCAGCTTCCGCAGGTATTTTAAGAACATGAAGTATATGCTTCATGCAAATCTGTAAAATTCATGAGATTTGTTGGCCAAATTGACACATTCTCAAAACAAACTCACACCCCAGAGGCTAACAATTAGTTATTTGCTGGGGACAAAGCAACCAACCGTCAGATAATTAGTCACAAAACGGTCTCGCAGGAAATGAGCAATTCGAGGAAGCAAAGAAGTTATGCTGAGACGGACAAGCCGATCTCGATGCTCCAAATACCGAAGGACAATCTCAGCGACTTCTCTATATCGAGACATCATGAATTCACCTGTATTCCTGCAAAATGTATCATCTGATGCAATAAGAACCCACTATAATGGAGATACTATTAAACAACCTCAAACGAGCAAATTCTGATATTTCACCTAGTGTCTTTATTTCTGTTTGCTGTATAAAAAAAAGTTTACCCAAGTACATAATGCCACCCTCAAGTACATCCATGACAAATGTTTAAAATATCTTAGACAAAGTGGTAGGACAAGGTCTTTGTGAAGTAGACAGGATGTAGAGCGTCGTGATACCACACATCACAAATAAATAGTGAAAGTGATTAGTCCAAATTAAAGGAACTTAAAACCCACTCGAAGAGGAAAACCAAGATACAACGAAAGCTCCGTGGCACCAGAAACTTGAATATAAAACCAGGAACTCAAAAACCCATAAGACATAACGTGCTAGCATATTATACATCGCATGCCCACCTAAAGCACATGAAAAAAAAAATAATCATCAAAACGCACCTCAGCAGCTCCCCAACTGCAAGCAGGGAACCATGTATGCTATGTATAGGAGCATTTCTTCCCAGTCCATCTTGTGTTGCCTCAAACATACGATAATACCTGCCACAGATATGGGGCAGCAAATAATGTTCCAAGGTAAGAATAAAAGAAACTATCACACTAAGGAAATTAACTTGTAATATAGCAGGAGTAAAATCAATTCCAACAAACTACTAGTAACACCATAAAAATTACACTTACCATTGCACACGCCATCGAGTTTCGCGCTTCTCAATGACCCTAAGGCAGGCACGCAATGCCTCCACAGCTCTCTCCCGAATATCCAATTTTTGATCTCTTAGAGCAACCCAGATAGCATCAACAAACTCAGGAACATGGACGTTGAAAACTGTTGAAGCATTCTCCGCCATTTCCTATGACAAATATCAAGAACTTTTCAACAACTCAAGGCATAAAGGACCAACAAATATCAAGGAGAAAAACGTCGAGAGGAGTAAACTGCTACGCCAATCAGGGAATCTTAATTTACAAGAAAACTTCTTAACCTCGATGCATCTTTGGTGAAGCGGGGGAAGAAAGAGTGGACAGATATAAATAAAAAGCAAATTTAGGGAATTAGCATTCACTAAACAATTGGGAGCTTAAACAGTCACTGAGTAGAACGACCGGGGGACGCCCATTGGAAGCATATAAATTTCCTTAGGAGCTTAGTTATCAAAAATAATAGTTACTTCCGGGCAAGATAAATTTCGACTGGATCGTATAAAAACCTATGAGGCTTTCTTGTACTGTACTACTGTGGTTTCCTCTTGGTCCACCAGATCAATTTTATGGAAAACTAAGATCATCTTGTATTGATTTCTCTTAAACGGTTTCGCATTATCTTAGGTAAAGACCTTCAGTGTTCATTTTGCTGCAACTTGTTTAGCCCTGAAATCTTCAGCACTTCCTTATTATATCATGCAGTTTACCACAAACTCAAGCAACAGAAATAAATTTGGAATTATGCGATTTCCAAGAGTGGTAAATTTTAGATAGAGTTAGGAAAGAAGCAGAATATTTAATAAATAAAAAATAAATAAATCGCCCTTTATATATAATTCCCAAATGCGCTAAGTGGAAGGCTCACATGCTTCATAAGCTTATTTGGCATAAGTTCGTGTTTATTGACACATGTACAGGTTTGAGTATTAGGCTTGAGAATTACCATAAACTATTTTACCTTTCTTTTTTCCTTAAATTACCATATACTACTCTTACCTTTTCTTATTTAATTCATACATTAATTATTATAAATATGTCTCCTTTTTATTTTTAAAAATTTATAACTTTTTTATCTGTGTTTTTTTTTATACAAGATCTATCAAAATATATCTAAATAATCAATCTTCAATTTGATATCAATGTTGCATATACAAAATAAAAAATAATTCAACTATATTTACAACAACAACAACAACAACATAGCCTTTAGTCCCAAGCAAGTCGGGGTAGGCTAGAGATGAAACCCAAGAGAAAACACAAAAAGACTCGAACCAAAAGGAAGAGATCGAAAAAAAAAAAGAAAAAAAAAAAAAAACGAGAGAGAGAGAGAGAGAGAAAGGAGCAAAAGTCACGGTTCTGGCACGTTGATAGCGAGCCTCCAAGCGCTCCTATCCACCGCTAAATCCTTGGAGATATTCCAAATCAATTCAACTATATTTACAAATAAAACTAATTTTATTTATCAAATCAATTTAAAAATATCAAATAACAATATAAATTATTACAAATAGTAAAATCTAATTCATTAACACACCGTAAAGTAATCATTTTAATTTGTTTTTTCGTAGATTTGGATAAAATATGAAAATAAAGTATTACACAAACTAAATTTTAAAAAAAATTATAAAATATTATTTCTTGATTTAAATAGATTATATAAAGAACTGAATGTTATTATGCTATTTAAAATAATAAATATAAAGGAATATCTTAAATAAAAATAATAAAATAATTTTATATTTCATAAAGTGAGAAAATAATACATTTCTGCGTAAGTTAATATTATGAATTAAAATACTTGAAAAATTAAAAACGAGTGATACTGACCCTATAAATATAAAATACAATCACAATGTTTTTTTTTAAAAAAAAATGAATCAAATTTATGGAGTTACAAATAATATATGTTTTTAGACATATATAATTTTAACAATATAATTAGAACAAATTATATTTTGCAATTTTAGTGTAAAAATATGGGAGCCATTTTAAATAAGTTATCACTTTGTTAGTTAAATTTATTATTGTTGTATTCATTATACATAATTTTACAATAAAAATATAAATTATTTTTTTATAGTACAAATATTAATATATTTAAGTACCCGTGTAGTACACGGGTTTCGTACTAGTCAAATAAGAATGTTGAAAAGTATTGTGAAAAACATAGGCAAAACGAGGGGTAAGCAAACACGAATTTAGCTTTGCCTTGTTTTTTAAAACAAAATTCCAAACTGCATCTTATATCAAAAATGTGTTTGCTTCACTCTCAGCTTTAATGAAAGATTATGTAAAAGGTGTAGATCTTATAGCGGCTGTGAGCGCCCAGGCTCAGCAACATGATTAGGGAGCAATCAATTAGATCTGAAAAGGGAACTTACTTTTAAAATTAAAACCGCAGCAAAACGCCGGTGCTCAATTCTCTCCCCACGAAGCCAATCCAATGCAATTTTTACCTGAGAAACGCAGAGACCAACAGTCAAGTAAACATTTCCATCATGCTACCAAGGGAATTAAATGTTCAACATACCAGCTGCTCCACTTCATCAGCTGTCATTGCTCCACCAGCTCTGGCCAAGTGTCCCAGAACTTTGCTGGCAACAACTAATGTTTCAGGTTCACGTTTGGCCTCAAATGTTGTTCGCATGTAAGTTGCAATCTTTGAAACTTTCACAGCATTCTCCCCGATTGGTACATCTATAAGCTCATCAATAGCCCTCAAAGCACCCAAATTTTCAGAAACATCATTGCTCTCCAAGAGGCTGGTGATACGATCATACAACTGATCCATGAAACGAGAGAATGCTTCACCACTAAGGTCACGAGCTCGTTCCTCCACGTGTCTTCTCAACGCCAAAGCAGCCCCGTCCTGCAGATCGGTTTAAAACAACAATGAACATCTAGTTAAACAATTTAAGAAATTGAAAAGATCATCTGAAATGATTCACGCACATAATATTCCATAACCCACCAGCCTTTGAAACTACTTAAAATGAACATCACCAACATAGATAAGCATACAGACTCAAGCAGTGGAAAATCAGATTTGCCCTATTTCAAGTGATTTGAAACACACCGATTCAAAATGACAAGAAAGCTAATGACAAAGAAATATTATCCTGTCTGTGCAAAAAGTATGACTCACAGCTGGCTTTAGGTGTCTTAAACACGCTATTTCCACAACTTATACGGCCATTCCAAACCACGACAGACCCACTATGCCTAAATTGGGGGTCGTGGGGCCCACGGTTTTTCTTAATATTTTTATGAGCACAAATCCTTTCGTTAGGCTGCCTACTTAAAAAAACGCATAATTATACCACGAAATGTCAGACTTTTGTTTATATTGTATTTTAAAGTATAATATTTGACTATGAAAGTATGTATGTTTGTTGGAAGCTGCCTCGCCATTAGGCAGTCTACCAGAAAACCTACCCAGTTTACGGATTATTGCTTTTTCTTGAAATCTAGGATTACTCGTGAACACATTAGTTATCTCAGTAGTTTGTGATCGATGATTCCTAAAGAGAACTAAATAACATCTTTGGCCAAGATGAAGCACAAATATATGCAATCATACATAGATTGAATACATAAATAAGTAAATAAGCACATACTGAAACAGCTAATTCGAACCTTGGGAATTCCGCGGACACAGAGGTCAGCCAGGACACGGTTGAGAGCTTCCAAGTTTCCAGCTCCGGCAGCAGCTCCAGATGGCATGTACCGTATCGACTGTGCAGTAGTGACCAGCGCCATACTATAATTATATAATTATAGAGCAATATACATACAGTACAAATGTCTCAAAACCCTAACATGATCTTCCCCGCATCACAGGACCTGCAGAGTGTCAAGCTAAATTTAAGGAACTCAACAATGATTTTTACAATCAGAAAACCTAGCGATATACAAGCGGTCCAGGTGTATCATAACCCTACAACAATAACAAATGCTCTTGCTATAGGAAAACAGCAGAATTTTCCGAAATAGAGTGCAATCAGAGGGAAAAAAACACGAAACACAGCACAAACCTGGGTGAATTCTTGACAGTGAACGCTGACGCAGTTTTTGCTGTCGAAATTTCATGTAGAAATCAAATTTATGAGCATTTGCCTTGTAATATAATATCGACAAGTGCTAATCTGTTTGTGTAATTTTGCTTTTGGAAGGCGATGAGCTTTGGCCTTGATGTAGAGTGAGAAAGTTTTTAGGGGTTATTGGATATGAATTCAACTAGTAAAAATTAAAAAACTAACTATAGTTAAATTTGAAAAAAAAAATAGTATGATTAATTGTTAGTGGATATATTAAAATAATATTTAAATTAGAATAATTAAAGTTGATTTGATGTAAAAGTAGGAGAAAATGATTAGAAGTGATAGTTAGTTAAAATTATGTGAGTATGTGAATAGTAAATTAAAGTTGATGTGGTGTGTAATAATGATTAATTGGTATTATTTAATTGTATTGATAATATTGGAGATAGTTAAGTTGAGTTAAAGTTGAGTTTTGAGTGGGATATTTACTGTAGAAATTATATACAATCACGCCCTTAGCGCTTAATATCAGCCGAAAAAGGGAAAATTTTATGCGTGGATATTAAAAAAAATTGTTTTGTTTGGATTTTTTCGTTTAATTTGGTTAATTTTGAAAGATGTGATGGAGTTAGTTGTTAGTTAGTATATTAAAATAATATTTAAAATAAAATAATAAAAGTTGATTTGATAAAAGTTGAAGAGATGATTTGAATTGATGCTTAAATTAAATTATGTGAATAGATGAATAATGAATTGAAATTGATATGGTGTGTAAGAATGATTAATTGATATTATTCAATTATATTTATAATATTGATGCTCCGCCGGTACACTCCCAGTAACCATGTTAATCAAGGGGTTCGGCACGTTGAGCCACACATCCAACCAGAATCGCGCGAGAAATCCATTTCCCAAAGCTCGATGTAATTGACCTCCTGACATGCGGCCAAGCTTTTGCCAAAGCTTTTAGACAAACCGACCCTTTAGGAAATATGAAATTGCTAGCCATCTCGGTCGGGCGCAATTTCTATTTGTCGACCAAACAAACTTTTCGAAGCGCAGTGAAGTCATAAAACTGGTCGAGTAACTATTACGTTTTTTTAATGGCTACAGCCTACATAAATTCCCTCGGTACTCCGAAGCGGCAAATGATACTTTGCCACAGGAATTTTGTCAGTTGAGTTAAAGTTGAATTAAAAAGATAGTTAAATTAAAAATATTTGGATTTATTTTATATTTTTTGTATACAAACATCCTCTACAAGTTCAACTTTTAAGAGTACTAGTACAACATCGGCGTACTACACGGGTGTTTTATAAAAAACTAACTATCTAACAAAAATTGGAAAAAATTGAAATTCTTATAGTGAAGTAAAAAAAACTATAAATAATTAATAAAAAAATATTTTTTAAAATATTATTTTGAATTTTAGAAAAATATTTTTATGAAGTATTATTTGTTCTATTTAATATATATTCATTTTGTCAAAATTAAATATAATAATTAATTTATTTGATAGTTAATATAATGTCCGTGAAAAACAAGGGTGCTTGAAAATTAAATAATTTTATCAAAATAAAGATGTTAAGAAATTTATATTATTATATAGAATGATGAAAAATAAAAAATACAACAAATAATTAAAATATAATAAAGTTAATTATTTAAAATATTTCCCATCTTTTATATTCGATTTGTCAAAATGTTAATTTTCTTAACAACACACACACACACATATATATATAGGGGGCGGATCAAATGCGGGCAGCTCTTAAACTGCGCCCAGCTCTTAAAATGCGGACAACTCTTAGCAACTACAGACAACTAACCTAGCAACCACAGAGAACTAACCTAGCAATTACAGAAAACTAACTTAACAAATACAGAGAACTAACCTAGCAACTATTAACTTAACAACTACAGAAAACTAACTTAGCAACTACAAAGAACTAACCTAGCAACTACAGACAACTAACCTACCAACTACAGACAACTAACCTACCAACTACATAGAACTAACCTAGCAACTACTAAGAGCATCTCCAATGGTCTTTCCATTGCTTTAAATTATTGCCACGTGGCATAAAAAAATTTGACGTGGCATGAAAAATGTCTAGAAGGCTTTCTAAATGTAGAAGTCCTTCTAAACAACTTTTACTATATATTATATTATTAATTCAATTTCTCTCTCTTATCCAACCAATTATAATTTTACACATCACAAATGACAGCACAATTAACACTAACCATTAGAGACAAAAAAATTTAATTCCCTTTCTCCATGTCACACAACACAATTCCCATTGGAGATGCTCTAACCTAGCAACTATAGAGAACTAACCTAGCAACTATAGAAAACTAACCTAGCAACTACAGACAACTAACCTAGCAACTACATAGGACTAGCCTAGCAACTACATAGAACTAACCTAACAATTACAGAGAACTAACCTAGTTGGAAGGTTAGTTGTCAACGGTCAACGTCGGAGTCAACATCGGAAGTCAACGGTCAACGCCGGAAATCAACAGATTTTGTCGGAAGTCAACGGTCAACGCCGGAGTCAACGGGTCAAAATAATATTTAAATAATTAAAATAAGAAATAGAAAAGAGTAAATCTCGACCACACATGATGTACCAAATCTTATGGCTAAAAATGAGTCTCACGTCGTCACTTTAAATAAGTGGATGCATTTGAACGAATCCCTATATATATATATATATACGCGTGTATGTTATTTACAACTCAATAATTTAATTTTGCATCAATTTAATTTTTTCAAGTTTGATTATATTGTAATTATGTTTTATATTTGTACAGTTTTCTTCCCCCGTCCAATATTTTTTAAAATATCTTCAACTTTATAATATTCAATTAATTTAAAATATAATGTGCATGAGGCTGAACTTTATAAATATAATAATTATCCTTATTATTCCAATTATAATGTTTATTTGGATTTTTTTTTCAAGATCCTTATAATGTTCACTCTCAATGCAGTATTTATTTAAGTTGAGACATAAACCGTAGAATATTTTTTAAACTAATTTTATGTTATTTTTTTTCGGAACGATAGAGATTTTATAAAGCGCATAAAGTGCAAAAAAAAAAAGATCAGCCTATAGCTGAATGCTACAACTACAAGCTGAATAAATTCGGAGGACATATCTGAATATCGTCTAGACCCTAAACTAGCAACGCTAGAAAAAAAAAACTCGCAAAACAACACACATAAATAGAATAAAACAACTCCAACGAGGGAGACTGACTAATCCTTCAGGATAATACCCGTTCTCACTCGGGTAGAACAGAGGCCAGAAACCGAAAACCAAAACAAGTTAAACAAACAAACACACCTAATCCTAAAAACAGATAAAACAACTAAACAAAAACAAAGCCCTTCCCACAACAGGATAACCAATTCCAGCATTTGGCACTAGCAAAACTCACAGTCGATCACCTCCAAAGACTGAGTTGCAGTCCAGAAATCTGCTCCCGAAACTGTCAAATTGCCTAACCGAAGCAGAAACCCGAGACCCCAAACCACTCCAAGAAGTGAAGTCGACCCA